TTTTCCCCTGCTATCTTGCTAGTGTTTCTCTTTTAACATGAACACTTGAAAATACTAATGTTGATTTGTATTTGATAGAAATATAAAAATTTGGAGTGAATTTATTTGGTTAATTTGCTATAAAAAAGTAGGAAAGAACATCCTCTTGTCCTTCTCACTAGGTTATTCAACTGTGATTTACATCTTGTTCTGCAGAAGAAACCATTGCTTCAGATCACTGAGCCCTTTACCGCCCATAAGCCTGTGAGGTGACCTTCGTGGTTAGTGATCTGGTTGCCAAGATTTAGAGAAATTCCAAGAACTTATTTAACAGACTCTACACTACATTTATCAGCAAATAGACTTTTTGGAATTCTATGGGCTTCAGTGAAGCCTACAGTTCTAACTCATGTTTTATCTCATGATATGGACATTGTAAAGGAAATGTGCTCTTTTATAGAAAAAAAAAGCCACATTTTAGTAGTACTCTGAATATTTTAGAACAAAATAGGTTTGAAAGGCAGTTTTATAATACTTAAGTGCGATAATATGTAGAAAGTAAAAGAAGTTCTTAATACTCATTGTTGTACAGTTCATAGTTATAATAGAATGATCCAGGAAATATAGTTCTCAAAAAAATGTTTTTTTAAAGAAGAAAATGAAGAGAATAAAAGTTAATTCATTCAGTGTATTACTCATCTAGTAACAGTTATATAGTCCCAGTAAAGAATATTTAAAAATCTATATTTTGTGTTGTTAACTTGATTGTTAAATAATGTTGATAATGTCAAGAGATTCACACAATGTATTATTGCATTCAAGAATGGATTATTTTTAAAATCATGAGGCAAAGGTCTCTCTTTCCCATTCCATGAATGTGGATTTGCTTTCTTTAGATGTTTGCATGGTCAGAGTGCTATTCACAAGACATTGTCCAGGCTATCTTTTTTCCACCCATTATTCTCCCTGAGCTGTCCTTAGTGACATGTAAAAGCACTTTGGGTGAGATCAAAATAAAAGAAAAACCAGAAATTCTCTGCAGCTCTTCCAGAATTATCTGTCACTTCACATATAAATAGAAATTTCAGAGAAAGGGGGAAAATGTTGTTTGTGTAAAAATTTCTAACAAGTGCTGAGAGAATCTTTGAAGTTCCTGAAACTGTATCTTCTTGAGTATTCTATCACATTCCTCTGAGATTATCTCCCCATCTTCTCATAGGGAGATGATTTCCTTCAACTGTTCTCTTACCTGTTGCGTTTCTATGTTTTGTAAGTCGAAGCACTCTTTGTAGCAATGTGTACTAAGGGATAATCCTGAAAGCGAGTTGTTCATCTATGTCTTTGCCTCCTACATGCTGGGATTAAAGGGGTGTGCCACCACTGCCCAGCTGGGGTACAGTTCTTGTAGCACTCTATAATCCCTGAGAAGAATTTCCAATTAAATTTTTGCTTTATTCAGGTAGGAGACACTATAGGTTTAGATCAGCTGAGTTGCGTTTTCTATCTTTCTCTGCCTCTGGGTCTTTCTCTCTCTTATTTTTTCCCACTTTCTTCCTCAGACACACATACATACACATGAAGAGAGAGAGAGAGAAAGACAGACAGACAGACACGAGGATTGACAGACAGAGAAAATTTCGCAATTTTACTCAGGCTGGCATCCAACTTGAAATCATTTTGCTTCCAAGTCTTAGATATTTGGTCTAAGTACAATGAGAATCAAATGTCTCAAAACCAAATATTTATAGAGCATTTTATGTTTCATGCACATACTATCAGTTGGGACATGATGTTAATAAGATGGATGCCATCTTTGCTTTCCAGGAACCTTAAGAGTTTAAAAATCTTTGTTACAAATAACTGATTTATATAATGTTCACAAGCCCCCAAATGTTGAAATTCTACTATCACTTTTATTTCATTGGTCCCTCTGTCTTTGAAGAGAATTCTTTTCAATTATTTTTTAATTATATGCACAGAACTTCTTGAAACTCTGTTATGGCAAACTAAAAAAACAAGGCTTTTTTATGCCCACAGCTCTTAGAAAGACTGTTTCCTCTTTCCCTTTTTCCATACTGACAGTATTTAAATTTTGAGTTGTATCACATGGGAGTTTTATCCTAATATCAAATACATGTTGATGATGGCTGTTGCTGTTTTCCCAGATAGACAACACTAAGGATTAGTTAATCACCAGGCTTTATTGTTCTGTTCGAGTCTTATGTACTCTTGTTACTGACACTTTGAAATCCCGGTGTTCTTCTCTCAGTACTCTGCATGGGGCTTCTCAAGGGTCTACTGCAGCACCAGAAAATATATTTCTAATAATACAACTACCCAGGCAAACAAAAGTGGGAGTTTTTAGTTTCCTCCTCTATTTTTCTTTAGTGCTTTAGGTCTTTCGGATACATTTGAGAAGGTATTGTACCTACCATTTTCCCATCAAGGGAGACTGCTGTGCGGAACACCGGGGGCTTGATACTTCGGCAGTCTCTTTCCTTGGAGGGAAAGAGGAGAGCAAATAGCTCTCTGTTCAGGGAGCCAGGCAGCACCAATCATTCTCTACTCACAAACCACAAAAGTCATTTAAACTATCAGAGGCCCAGTGCTGTTTTAGGAATATCCTTAGGAGAATCAAACAGTTAAAACAAAGCTTCACCTAGTTTTCTTTCATGATTTGTGCTTTACCCGAGAAACAGAGCTGACTTAGGCAGGAATATTTCAAACCTATTTCACAGTCAGTTCTAGAGGAGGTCTTCATGAAATAACAACAGTGTAATTGCATCTGGCAGGAGGAAAATGCTCTGATTCATGCAATTCAGACTCTGGGATAATGACTCACTTGGAGTAACTTTCACATGCATGTTTTTCAACACTATCAAGTTGGAGAATAAAATAAAATAGAAAGCATGTTAACTAATATTAACTAATATTTGTTATCTGGCTATTTTAATGTAGAAGATATTGTGATGTTTCTCTGGTAAAAGATGTATGAAGGGCTGGAGAAATGGCTCCGTGGTTAAGAACACATATTGCTCATGTAGAGGACCTGTGTTCTACTCCCAGCATCTATGTTGGGTTGCTCACAACTGACTATTACTCCAGTTCCAGTGAAGATCTGATGCCTCGGCTTCCTCTGGCACTGGTGATCACTTGTACTAACAAAACTATGTGTATGATCACCATAGACAAAAATGGTATTTGTTTAAATTATAACTGATCTTTGGCTACTCAGAATGTACCATGTACCTGTTCAATCTAATGTCCTTGATTTGTCCTTTACAGTTTACCGTAAGTGGTACACTATGGGGGTGCCCTGACTGGTTCCTTTATTGAAAAAAAAAAAAAAAGTTAGATCCTTGAGAATTATCTTTAAGTCAGTCTAATAATGTTCACATCTTGTTTAGAATTACATAATTTAAATTTAATGACTTATTTTCATTTACAGGTAGAAATTAGGTGTCTATGGCTTTTACGCACTCAAGAAATAAAGGTGAATGGCCATGCACAGGCAGGCTATTAATGACTTTATTCCTCAGGTCACTGTTTTGACAAGTCACTATGAACTCTAAAGCAATCCAATATGAATATAATATCATGGATATCCTCATTACCTGAGAGCTTTCCACTAAGTATGTGGTATACCATGTAGCTACTCAACAGAATTAACTGAAGGTTTTTGTTTATTAAATTCATAGTTTAATGAACTCAGTTTGAAAATTATGATGAATCATCTATAGTATAGGGATTTATAAATTTCATATACATATAAAAGTCTGTTGATTCAAAAACCAGTTGAGGCACTAATTTTTTAAATGTGCATCTTATAGTTTTGAATAGAATATTCTACAGTTGGAATTTATTTATTTATTTATTTATTTATTTATTTATTATTTTATTTTATTTTTTTTTTTGTTTGTTTTTTCGAGACAGGGTTTCTCTGTGTAGCTTTGCGCCTTTCCTGGAACTCGCTT